AGAGAATAGATGCAGCAGCACTGGGGGGTCCCTCCCCTGCCCCTGGTGAGGGGCCCCCACCACTGCTCCTCCGGCTTCCACTGCCAGCATCCGAAGTGGCACTGCCAGAGGTAGAGGGATGGGCAGGGGTGGCAGGTGAAGCGGGCGTGGTGGAGGGCGCTGAGGCAGGGTCTGGAGTGGAGGGGGACGAAGCAGTGACAGCAGCTGGATCTTGGGCCCTGAGGACAGAGAAAGGAGACTCCCCGTTGGAGTGGGCACAGAAGAGGGAAGGCAGCACAGTGACGTGGGGATCTCCGTGTGCCGCACAGCCACTGCAAGCCGAGGCCGCCTCTGAACACCATCACCCCCACCTCAGACTGGGAGGGGCGCTGGGCGTCGGTAAGCCAGGGAGAGGGAGGAGGTCACTAGCATCATGATTTCAGGGCGTTCTAGGTGCTAAGTCAGGTCCCCTTGCCCAGACCCCCTGCCTGGCCTGGGTCCTCCAGGTACAGTYGAGGAAACGATAGGGAAATAGGGATGGGAGTCCCAGTCCACAGCGAGGTCTGCTCTTCTCCTCAACTTACTTCTGAGGGGTCTTGATAACCAAATGGACAGTGAGCCCATCCTTGATCCCATGCTGGTTCAGKGTGTCCCCATCCTTGAGGATCTTGCCTGCGAAGATCAGGACCAGCTGATCCTGCTGAGCCTTAAACCTCCGGGAGATTTCCTCTTTGAACTGTTATCAAGAGGCAAATATCATTATGGAGGCTGCATGGGCTTCGCCCACCAGAGACTCTGCTTCTACTCTGACTGCTACTCAAGGGAAGTTCTTTCTACTGTCTCAACCCCATCCCTCCAGCTGCAAGCTCCTTGAATCAAGGAGAGGGATAAGCAAGAGGCACTTTTCTCAACTCCATGCCAGAGTCTCCTACCCTAGAAAGCCCTTGCTGATATCTAAGAACGGAGCTTCAGCCCCTCCATCCGGTTCTCAGTGAGGGTACTGCATGGGCACTCTCCCCATGCCAACTCCTTCCCCAACCTTGGATCTGTCTTGCTTCATCCTTCTCTCCTCTCTTAATTTCCAGCTTTCTCATAACAACTAAAACCAAGGGACCCCAGTTATTGGGCACTAACCCTTCACTGGTTAGCTGTCTAATGTATTAGTTATTATCTCCTTTTTTAAAATAGAGAAAACCGAGGATCTGAGAGGTTAGGTCAACTTTTCCTGGGGAGATGGGAACTCAGATCTGGACATCAAAGTCCGGGCTTTTGACCAGAAACACTCCCCACTCAGGGCTGTTTTCAAATTCAGTCTTACAGAGAATACTATTAAAATTATAGTATTTAGCAATTTTATATGGGGGGTAGCAGTATGAGTTAGGACTCTCCAAATTCTATCAGCTCCTCCAAAACAAAACACAACACACATTCTAAGTAAAAACAGTGCACTTGCTGAGCAAAAGCAGCTTCCAGATCCCTCTCTCCCAACCAGATGGCCGATCTTAAGCCCCGCCTAGGTGAAATTCTGGGGCTGCCACAAGCCGGGGAGAATACGGTAACAGTCCCTCCTCACTCATTCAACACGATTTTATTGAGCACCTACTGCACTCCGAGCATCCCAGAAGGGCCAAGAACCAATAACTGCCTCGACTCGAGAGAGTGCGAAGGCTTGGGGCCGCGGGAAAGCCCCCTGCCCTGGCGCTCAGTGGACACTGGGCGCTCCCCGAGGCGCACAGCAGGCGCCCGGCGCTCCGCCGGCCTCCCGCCGGTTTCCTTTGGCTCAGCCCCCGGCAGGGGCCCCACTCTGCCTGGCGACTCGAACCCCGACCAGAAACGCGGGCGTGCACCCCGCCAGAGCCCAGGCTCTCCGGCCCGGTGCGGGTGACGGTGTCCCCTCCCCGCTCTCCACCACGCCCCCAGCCCTGGCCACCACAAGCCAAACCCGTCCCCCAACACGCGCCACGCTCCCGCGACCTGCCCTCGGAGGGCGCCCCCTACCCGCCCCTCGGTCCCGCGCGCCCGAGTCCCCGCTGGCCCCGGCCCTGCTGTCGGGGGCAGTCCCGGACTCCAGGCCGTCACTCGGGCCCCCCACCCCTGTGGACCCCTCCTCCGAGCGCCCACCCCACTCGGCCGCACTACCTCCTTGACCGAGGCTCGGTCGCAGATCACAATTTCCTCCTTGTCCTTGGGGGTCTTGACGGTGACCCGAATCGGGGGCCTCGTCTCGGCCCCGCTCGGCTCCGCCATGCCGCCGCCGCCGCCGCCGCCGCCGCCGCCACCCGGCCGCCCGCCAGCCCGTCCGGCTCCTCCTCCTCCCCGCCCGCCCCGCCGGCCCGGCTGGGCTCGGGCGCCTCCGACACCCCCTCCTCTCCTCCCCTCCCCTCCCCTCGGCTCCGCCGCCCCCTCCGGACCAGCCGCCGCCACAGCGCCCCGGGCGGACTGGGGGGGCCACTGCAGCGGGTCCGCCCAAGGCCGAGCCCCGGGTCGCGCCGCTGGACCGGGCCGCGCCGCGCTGTGGCCCCAGCGGCGTTCGGGTGGGCGCGCGGCGGGCCCTCAGCGGCCGAGGGCCGGGGGCGAGCTCCCGCCCGGAGACCCGGTCGGCCTAGCCTTCCGGAAGAGCACCGCGGCCCCGGCCTAGGCCGCCCCCGCCTCGGCGGGTAACTCCCGCTCCGGGACAAAGGACTTTCTGTGTCGCCGCCGTATCTCCGTCCCCAGAGATAACTTGGTCTTTCTCGGGAAGCTCGAGGCTCTCCCAGGCCTGGGGCCTCTCCCGACCCGGAGGTTAACTTCCCCCACCGCTGGACGTCCACTTAAGACCTCCCTGGGTCGGACACTGCTCCCCGGGGCCTCAGCGGTCTACTGAGTGCGCTTTCGGAGACCGGGATTTTGCCTACGTGGCCTTCCCCAGCCTCCGCGGCCCCGAGATTATTGCGCCGCTCGCCCCTTCTCCCGGAATCGTACACAACGCCACGCTTTGAAAAGTGACCACCGGTGTGCCTAACGAGTGCGAGGTTTTTAAGTGACTATTGGACCGTGCGTTGGCGAGCCGACATGATTTCCTGTCCCCGAAGGGGTTAAAAGTGTCACTGTCCTCTTACTCCCGCTCTTCACCGCCCCCGCCACAGCCACGTGGTGTGACTGGAAAGCGAACTACACTTCCCAGAGTGCCTCGCGAGGCCACAGGCACTACGATTCCCAGCGTTCCCCGCGCGGGGCGGGGTTCAGTCCGAGGGGCGCTAGGCTGGCGGGGAGACTACAAGTCCCAGGGAGAGGCGGAGCGGGGCCCTAGGTGTACGGGAAGCGGTAGGCAGAGGTTAGCGGCGGGCAGCTTGGGGGTTTGGGTGCAGGAGCCCAGGGTTAGGAGCTGCAGGCATGCTGCGTCCCAAGGCTTTGACTCAGGTGCTAAGCCAAGCCAACACTGGAGGCGTCCAGAGCACCCTGTGAGTGCGCTTCGAGGACCCGACGGCGAGTGCTGGAGCGGGGCCGTGCGCGGCTGCTGCGGGAGGGTTAGGGAAGGATCTCCAGGAAGGGAGGCGGGGGCAGAGGCGGACAGTCGCTGCGGGAACCAGCATGAGAGCCCCTTTGGGAACGGGTACCCGGCGTGCAGTGCACGGTCCAAGACACACTCGGCCCAGACCCTGACTTCCTAGAAGGGAGGAGGGTTAGGACCCAGGCGTTTTGCYTCTTCCCCTGAGCTTGTCTGTGTCCCTCCCCGCCCCTCGCCAGGCTCCTGAATAACGAGGGATCCCTGCTGGCCTACTCGGGCTACGGGGACACGGACGCCCGGGTTACCGCAGCCATCGCGAGTAACATCTGGGCCGCCTACGACCGGAATGGGAACCAGGCATTTAATGAAGACAATCTCAAATTCATCCTCATGGACTGCATGGTATGAAGAGGGGAGTCAGACTTACTCTGTTCCCTAAGGGGATCTCAAGAGGGAGACCTGGATTCCATTCTGGATGGTTGGAAGGGTAGGGAGATCTCCGGAAGATTATTACTAAGATTTGGTCGGCAGCAGCATTTGTAATAGGTAGGACTCTGGGAGTCTAGTGGTGGTAAGGAAGGAGCCCGAGACCTCTGGTCTGTCTTGCGTTTTGGTCCCAGCCAATCACTTGTCAGTTAAGGATCCTTGGGTGAATCACTTAACCTCTATGAGCTTCCTTACCTCCTCTATAAGGACTGAACAGTAATTTCTTATGCCCCTCCCCACTTCCCCAGGTGTTGTGAAAAATCAAATGAAAGAATGGTTAGATTTAAACGGAGTGTGATCCAAGTGTTGTCATCTGCTTCTTCTGACTCACAGAACCACAGCAGAGTCTCTAGACCCCTTCAGTTTACAAAGAAAGGAAATGAAGTGCAAAAAGAGGAAATGTGAACTTCTTTAGAACAGGAACTATCTCGTTCATCTCTGAATCTGTTCAGTCATCAGGTTCCTGCAATGTTCTTAGAACTAGTGAAAAACTAGCAAATGGAACAGGAAAAACCCCAGCCTCATGAAGCTTACAGTCTTATATTTTCAAAATAAGTAAAACACATTAGGCTGGGCACCATGTTGCATGCCTGTAATTCCAGCAACTGAGGAGGCTGAGGCAGAAGGATTGCAAGTTCAAAAGCAGCCTCAGCAACTTAGTAAGGCCCTAAACAAATTAGCAAGAACCTATCTCAAAATTTTAAAAAAGGGGGGTGGGGACAGGGAGGCTAGGAGATATGGCTCAGTGGCTAAGCACCTCTGGTTATATATATATATATATATATATATATATATATATATATATATATATAAAGAAAATATAGTGAAGGAAAAAAAAACTAAAATGAGAAAATGGGGTGAGGGTGGTGTGTATCAGAGGCCTGAATAAGAGACCTGAAAAGATCTGAGATCTGAAGGAAGGTGCAGGGGGAGTGGGCTCAGGGCAGGCGGTTTAGCTATCTGGAAGAAGAACAGTGAGATTCTATCAGAACAGCAAGTACAAAGACTGGGGAAAATGATGCCTGGTCAAGGCTCAACAAGGCTGGTATGGCCGGARTGGCATGAGAACGGGGGAGAGTAGTAGATGGAGCCGGAGAGGCAGGGGTGCAGTGCCTGGTTCCCATCAGGGGAATACCTAGGGAAGGTGTGCAGAACCAACCTGAACAGGCCCTAACGGTGAACTCCCCAGGAAGGATCTCTACTACCTACTGTTCCCCATCCCATGCCCAACCAATGCCATTTTGGTTTAACAAATGACTTCTACTATTGCATAGTGTGGAGTTGGTGCTATTGGCAATGACTTCCAAATATTTTGACTATAACCCTAGCCATAAGAAATGCATTTTAAATCAGAGCTTACTACATATATGCATCCACTAAAAAGGAAGTTTCTTGAAACAGTACTTCCCTTACTACATGAGTTTTTTCTTTTCTTTTCTTTTCTTTTTTTAGTACCAAGGATTGAACTTAGGGATGCTTAACCACTGAACCACATCCCCAGCCCTTTATATTTTTTTTGTTTTAAGACAAGATCTCACTGAGTTGCTTAGGGTGTTGCTAAATTGCTGAGGCTGGTCTCAAACTCACCATCCTCCTGCCTCAGCCTCCAGAGCTGAGGGATTGCAGGTGTGCACCACCTTGCCCAGATGCTGCTGCTGCTGCTTTTTTTTTTTCCCTTTCTTTTTTTTTTTTTTAATGCTGATCAAACCAGCCTGGGTTCTATCCCCATCCCCAGTACAGAAAGAAAACAAGCAGACAGACAAACAATACCATCACCTGTTGGATAATTGTTACAAAATGTAAAACTCTTTAATCAGCCAGGTGCAGTGGTGCATGCCTGTAATCCCAGGAGCTATAGAGAGTAAGGCAGGAGAATCATAAGTTCAAAGCCAGTCTCAGCAACTTAGTGAGGCCCTAAGCAACTTATTGAGATTGTCTCACAATAAAAAATAAAAAGGGCTGGGGATATGGATCAGTGGTTAAGTGCCCCTGCGTTCAATCTCTGGTACCAAAAAATTAACAAACAAAAACAAAATCCAAAAGACTCTAAGAAAAAAAATCTTTAATGTATATATTAATGCCCCTGCTGACTGGGGATTCAGAAAGAGAAGTCAGGTTTCTGGGAGACTGTTCCCTAGGGTAAATAACCTCACATCCAGGACTATGACCAATGCTTGTCAGTTGAACCTCTTGCTGTGCTAGGGCATGCAGTCTCTAGAACCCGAGGAACTGTTGGGGAAGGGGGACTCCAAGTGCCAGGCAGAACATCCCATCCCATCATATGATCCCCACAGGAGGGCCGTGTAGCCATCACCCGTGTGGCCAACCTTCTGCTGTGCATGTATGCCAAGGAGACAGTGGGCTTTGGGATGCTGAAGGCCAAGGTATGTCTGTGCCCATCTCTTCACGGCTCTGGGCCTGGCCTTTGTGCTCTGTCGCCTGGTCTACTCCGATCCACATTCCCTTTCTGGAGTTCTGTCTCCTTAGTCCATGTCTGCTGTGGGTGAACTCCCAAGAGCAGGTGGTTGCTCAGTATGTCTTGGGGATCAGACTGGGTTGGGATCCCTCTGGGTGGACTGATGTGTGCTCACCCTCTTGCAGGCTCAGGCCTTGGTGCAATACCTGGAGGAGCCCCTCACCCAAGTAGCGGCATCATAATGGGCGTTGATGGAGGCTGGGGTCAGAAAAGAGAGATGACCAGTCAGAGGGGCAAGGCCTCCTGGGCAAACCTCCTGAACTGTGGGGGAAGGGTGGGCTTTTGTATTTTCCAGAATAAATGTTAACTCCTGACTTGTTTCTTGGCTACTTTCTTGGATGGAAGGAATCAGGGATGGCCTAGAGGATTCCTCATGTTCTACAAGAGTGGATTTCCACCCATCCTTCCTTCACTGTGACATCCCATAACCTGATGGTTCTTGGCTGGTGCAAGCTTCCTTTGCCTATCCAGTGGTGACCTTATCTAACCTCTGCTGCTCAGAGCAGAATCTTACCCACCTAGTGGCAAAACCTTAGGAGTGAGCTCAGATGAGCAAAGAACTGGTTAGGTTTGGAAAAAGAATACATGGAAGGCCCTGGGAGTTTAGTATCCTTGATTGAGGTTATGAAAGGGTCCCTCTGACTGCCCAAAAGGGGGCGCCATTCCTTTCCTCTTCTCCCAGGTGTTCAAAGGCTCACCCAGACCCTTTCCAGGAAAATACACACACACACACACACACACACACACACACATACACCCATATAATTTATGTATATAATTGAGACAGGTTCTCTCTAAGTTGCTGAAGCTGGTCTCAAACTTGCGATTCTCCTATCTCAGCCTCCTAAGTCACTGGAATTTACTGGTGTGCAACACCATGCCTGGTCCTTCCAGATCTTGAAGCTCTTTGCAGACAAAATGCCTTTGTTGTGAGACCTCGGATCCCAGACAAGGAGTAGAATCCTAGAAGGCTGCCCAGAGGCTCTGATCTCCAGATCCTGCCTCCGTACTCACCCCGTCTGCTCTTTCTGCCTCACCTCTTCCCTCCTCAGTGTCCTTAGAGCAGGTCTGTGCTGGTGAGTCCCTTGCCCCAGTGCCAGAGGAAGGAACCAGGCAAGTAGAAAATTCAAAGTCCCAGCTGGGTGCCGTGGTGCACACCTGTAATCCCAGCCGCTTGGGAGGCTGAGGCAGGAGGATCGCAAGTTCAAAGGCAGCCTTAGCAACTTAGGGAGGCCCTAAACAACTCAGCAAGACCTGTCTCTAAATAAAATATATATATTTTAAATGGCAGGGGATGTCATTCAGGGGTTAAATGCCCTGGGTTCTATCCCCAGTACCAAAAAAAATAGAGTCCAGCTCCACCCTGGGTGAGAAATACTGCCCATCCCAGGCCCTGGCTGTGAGGGAGGGGCAGAAGTCTGGCCAAGATGCAGCTCCCACAGCTGGGCTCTGCACCTAGGTGGCTGGCAGGCCACCAGCCCCTGCCCCTTTATTGCAACAACCCTTCTCTGGTCCTCCAGCAGACTCCTACCAGGGCCTCTGAAGGAAAAGTAGGCCACCAAGTGGATTTCTGCTTCCCAAGGAGCTGTCTCTCTCCCACTGATGGCTGCCCCACCTCTCCCATGGCTGGGGCAGGAGCCAAGCAGCGCACACTCGGCTCTCAGCAGCCTCTGTCCAAAGACCCTGTCCCCAGCTTCCCTACTGTTACCCCTTAGAGTTGTGTCTCCCCTTGTGGGAGCCCAGGCTGAGGGCAGACACCCAACCTGTCCAACCTGTCTGACGTCACCCTCTCTCCACCCACCTGGGCCCCAGGTCTCCAGCGCCCGCTCTTCCTGTTCTCAGCTTCCGTCTTCTCGGTTTCCACCCAGCACCCCACCTGCCAGAACCCAGCCTCCTGGACCTGGCTGGCTTTGAGTCGGTCCTCAGTCCCTTTGGCTGTGGAAACCATCCTGCCCCCAATGAGAAGAGAAGTGGGTCCAGGTCTCTTGAGAGCTGAGCGTTCAGGGCACTGAGCTGACGCACACACTGTGACCTCTGCCACCGAAGACATCTGCACCTTCCATGCGGAGCYGAGATGGGGAATGGGACTGAGGAAGATTATAACTTTGTTTTCAAAGGTAAGTTGGGGTCCTTGGAGAGAGAGGAAGCTTGAGAAGACCAGGAATGATTGAATAGAGTCAGAGGGGACCCCCTCCTGCTTTGCTTCTCTTCCTAGGACTCCCCACATCTCCTGATTCCCCCCAGCTCAGAAAGGAAGGTGCAGGAAGTGAAGGAGGGTCTGGTGACAGGGAGCAAAGGTTCTGGAGTTGCCAAGTACGCCCCACTGTTGTAAATAACGATGCTCATCATGCCTTTAGACTGCCCTCTTGGCCTCGTTCTTAATAGAAGCCCGGATCCCTGGGAATAGTCAGACGTTGCAGCACAAGAGATGCAGGTCAGACTTCAAAAAGGACTTTCTTTCTGGATAGAGGGAGAAACAAACATTTGACAGGAATAAAATCGTTTTTTTCTGGGCAGATGTATGGAAAAGGAGAGAAAGACAAGATCTGTCTTTATTGGGCTACTCTGTAAATATACAGGAAACACACTGAGGAAGTATAATGAATTTGGAGCTGGGTCTGATAAAATCCAGGGGACTCCTGGCGCTGAGACCTGAGCTACTCTCCCTTGGCAGATTCCTGGACCTGAATATTAGGCACTGAATTCAACTTGGYTGTCTCTGGAAATACGCACATATCCTTCCTTCTTTACCTTGGCCCCTGTGTTTGGTCCCACTGTGATTCCCCAAAGCCGCCTCCATACCTCCTCGAGGGCAGGGTGGCCTGGTAAAGCTCTGATCCCTTTCTAGCACCCCACCCCACCTCACCCCATTGCCTTCCCCGGCCGCAGCCCCACCCTTGTTCAGGTTGGGGAACCTGTACTTCTGGCGTCCTTCCCAGGAAGGAGAAACAGAGTAAGGGTTGACAGGAGTCCGGGTGCCCTTACTAGGGACCAGCCAGTAACTCATTAATCACCATAACGGCCCCCAGAGTTATCCTGCATTCTGAGAGGAAGCACAGCGTGAGGTCTCGGTCCTGCCACTTACAGGTTAGTGTAGGAGGGCTCACCAGAAGCTGACTCTAAGGTCAGGGCTGCCCCGTGTTGATCAGGGACCGACTGACACCTGTGAGAGCAAGAGGGAGGAGACAGGCTTGGGAAGAGGAAGAAGTCAACCACACCAACAACTCCCTGCAGCCAGGTCTGCGGGGCTCTGTGATGACCTCACCTTGCTCAGCCCCCCATCAAGAAGGGACTGTCAAGGAAAGATATGACTTCCAGGGAGGTTGCTGTCCGCATCAGAGTCAGCCTCTGATGAAGGTGACAGCTGGAGGCTGTCCACTGCCTGCACTCCCTGTGGTGGGGTAGGTGGGGGATGATAATAATGGCACTTACCTCAGGGCATTGTTATCTGAGGATTAAATAAGTTAATATGTGTAAAGCTTTTAGGCTGGTGCCTGACACTTAGTAAGCACTCAATAAACGTTAACTACTAGTAACACCTTTTTTTTGGGGGGTGGGGTTCCAGGGATTGAACTCAGGGGCACTCTACCACTGAGCCACATCCCCAGCGCTAATTTTGTATTTTATTAGAGTCAGGGTCTTACTGAGTTGCTTAGCACCTCGCTTTTTGCTGAGGCTGGCTTTAATAAACTCGTGATCCTCCTGCCTCAGCCTTCCAAGCTGCTGGGATTACAGGCATGTGCCACCGTGCCCGGCTAGTAACTTCATTTTGCAGATGAGGAAACTGAGGGTTTTTTTGGGTTTTTTTTTTTTTKAATTTTTAATATTTATTTTTTGGTTCTCGGCGGACACAACATCTTTGTTGGTATGTGGTGCTGAGGATTGAACCCGGGTCGCACGCATGCCAGGCGAGCGCGCTACTGCTTGAGCCACATCCCCAGCCCAGAAACTGAGGTTTAGAGACAGAATAAGTAACTTACAAAAGTTCACAAAGATAACAAATCTTACTATGATATATAACTATAATGCACCAATAAAAAATAATGGGGAAAAAAGTTCACAAAGTCAGTAGAACTCAAACCTAAGTCTGTCTCTGAAACCCTCATCTTGAGCAACTTTAGGATCTTAGGACAGAGTCTGAAACCCACCCACTGGGAGGGATGAAATTGAGATGAGGTTTCCAGTAGGAAGAGATAGGAACACACACACACACCCCTCTTACCCACACATACCAAGAAAGAGCCCAGGCTCTTTCTTGCCCTGTACAAATAAGGATTTTTTAATGCTGGAAGAGGCCTTTATAAGTGTATAAACAAGGAAACTGAGGCCCAGGAGAGCCATTTGTTCAAGTTCACATAGCCCCTTGGAGCCTGAGCAGAGACCAGAGTTCAAGATATGTGACTCCCAGTGGTTGGGTACCAGGCTGCCTTTCCAGAACCACCTGGGTGGCCTCCTCCAATGCTGGGGGCTCAGGTCAGTGACATGCAATGTGTGGGCTGTGCTTACATCAGCCCCTCATACCCTGCTGCAGCTCCTGTGCTGCTCATCAACCTAAAAAGGTCTCTGTGGCCCCTCTAGTGGTCCTTTTCCCTGAAAACCCAAGGCAGAAGCACTGGAAGGTCAGCAACAACCAAACATATCAGTAGTTTTGTACATGGGGGTTTGGTTGTTATTTTGGTACCAGGATTGAACTCAGGGGCACTTAACCACTGAACCACATCCCCAGCCCTTTATTGTATTTAATTTAGAGACAGGGTCTTACTCAGTTGCTTAGGGCCTCACTAAGTTGCCAGCTGAGGCTGGCTTTGAACTCGAAATCCTCCTGTCTCTGGGATTACAGCTGTGTGCCACCGCACCTGGCAGTTTTGTACATTTGCTACATTCTGGGCAATATCTAATCTGCTTCTTCCAATAGCCCATAAAGTAAATACTATTGCTATTCACCCCCCCCTTTTTCATATGAAAATAAGGTTCAGAGAGGTTAAATAGCTTCCTGAAGGACACAGAGCTAGTCCAACACCCAGTCCTCATTCCCTTGCTTTTTTTTTTTTTTTTTTTTTTTTTTTTGGTACTGGGGATTGATCTCAGGGACACTCGACCCCTGAGCCACATCCCCAGCCCTATTTTGTATTTTATTTAGAGACAGAGTCTCACTGAGTTGCTTAGTGCCTTGCTTTTGCTGAGGCTGGCTTTGAACTTGTGATCCTCCTACCTCAGCCTCCCGAGCTACTGGGATTACAGGCATGTGTCACTGTGCCCAGATTAGTTCCCTGCTTTTAAGCATACAGTGCAGGATCTCTTTAGGGTCAACTGAATTCTATATTTATTTATTTATTTATTATGTACTGGGGATTGAACCCAAGAGCACTCTACCACTGAACTGTATCCCCAGCCCTTTTGCTTTTCCCTTTAAGACAGGGTCTTGCTAATTTGCAGCAGCTGGCCTTGGATATGAAATCCTTCTGCCTCAGCCTCCTGAGTCACTGGGATTACAGGGGTGCACCACCCTGACTTCTTATGCACAGTCATGGGCACACATAACTCCCTACCTTACCCTTGCCCACATATATGCCACCTATTAAATTGTCCCCTCACACATACTTCTGTTCATATCTTTGTTGGCTATGCAAATAATCCACACTGACCCTCCCTCCCCAAGTGTCTGCTCAGCTAATGCACAGAGACATGCCCAACGTTCTTGTACTTTCCAGCCAGAGATATGTGCTGCCCCATCCCTGTCCATATTTACCCACCTCAGTAACCTTTTCACATGTCACCCAGGAGAGTCCACAGACTTCACTCCTCCCAGCAATGCAGGCTGACCGTCAGCCAGGGCTCTAGGGAGCAGGCCTGCAACCCTCGCAGCACCTTTGTTTGATTTAAACTTCTGACCCCTCTGCCCTCCACGACAGATGCATTATGCGACTTGCTGACCGGAGTCTTTGCCAGGAGAACGGGCTCCCTCCTCAGTTTGGGGAGCTCAGTTCTGCCTTTCTGCTGGACAGACCCTCCCRGCTCAGGTGCGCTCAGGGCCCCTCTGCTGGGTGCTCAGCCCTTATTTCCCCGCTCTTCCAGTGGTGCTGATCGGCGAGTCAGGTGTGGGGAAGACCAACCTGCTGTCCCGATTCACGCGCAATGAGTTCAATCACGACAGCCGGACCACCATCGGGGTGGAGTTCTCCACGCGCACGGTCATGTTGGGCACCGCAGCTGTCAAGGCTCAGATCTGGGACACAGCTGGCCTGGAGCGATACCGAGCCATCACCTCGGCGTGAGCCCGGGGCCTGGGGGGATGGTGGGTTGCTTGCTGGAGCCCTGGGGGAAGTCAGGGACACCCCTGAGAAGTGGAGGAGCAGGGGGAGGCTCAGGAGGCTCCGCAGTGTGCTCCCAGAGGAGATGACAGGAGATGGGCAACAGTGTGAGGATCACAAGTTCGAGGCTAGCCTCAGCAATTAAGGGAGACCCTGTTTCCAAATAAAACATAGAAAGGGCTGGGGCTGTGATTTAGTGGTCAAGTGCCCCTGGGTTCAATCCCCTGTACTAAAGGAAAGGGAAAAAAAAGTCCTTGCCACAATTTACTAAGCCTTTGCCATGTGCCCAGGAAAGTTCAAAGAACTTTATTTATACTTGGCATTTTATGTAACCCTTCAAGTACCCCTGAAGAAAGGTGCTAAAATTAATCCTGGTTTAAATACAGGCAAGGGGAAATGAAATCAGGGTGGAGCAGGGATGCGGCAGGCTCCGTGGATCAACAGCGCCCCCTGACGTCAGCACTCCATCTGGCCACATTCATCTGACCACAAATGCTAAATTGGAGTAATTTATAACATCTCAGAGGACAACGGGAAGTTAGGGTTCCTGACACCCATTCAAAGTGTCTTTTAGTCAGTATCAGACCCAAATGTGTAAAAGGTGCTCCAGGAGTGTGTGGTGGGGGATAGCAGCTGTCGGGGAGGGTTATGGTCACACACACTCATCACTCTTGGTCACTTGACATCTTGTGAGCTTAGTTGATTAATCAATAAACAGAGAAAAATTATACAAACCGAGGCTGAAGATGGCTATTCCAGCTCCAGGGGGAGGCTGGACACTGGCAGAGATGCCCTGAGTGGCCAGGTCAGGGACCTGTCTTTGAGAAATGGCCATYGGAGAGAAGAGGGCACTGTAGGTCGAGGAGCCCTGTGACAAAGATCTCCGAAGTGGGGCATCCAGGAGGCACACTTGGCCAGAGCCCGGAGGTGCGTTGGTGCAGAGTACTGACTAAAATCAGGACAAAGGACCCGAGGAGTGGCGGGCCTTTGAGGGGCCAGTGCAGGTTCTGAAGCACAGAGGTGAAGCTCCAGAGCCCGAGACCAGCATCCCTGGAGCACATGGCTGCTCCCTTGGGGTCTGGATCCCTGAACCCCAGTTTCTGTGTTTCTCAGTATCTGGCATTCTGCTCTCAGGCCTTTTGGCTCCGGAGTCTGTTCTGAGGCTGGGCCCAACACCCCTGTCTGTCCTGTTCCTGTCTGTCCTCCCACTCCCACCCAGGTACTATCGTGGAGCAGTGGGGGCCCTGCTGGTGTTCGACCTGACCAAGCACCAGACCTATGCTGTCGTGGAGCGCTGGCTGAAGGAGCTCTATGACCATGCTGAGGCCACTATTGTTGTCATGCTTGTGGGGAACAAAAGTGACCTCAGCCAGGCCCGGGAAGTGCCCACTGATGAGGCCCGCATGTTCGCTGGTGAGAGCCCACCCCCACCCAGTCTGACTCCTCCAGTTTGCCCACACCCCACCAGCTCCATCTTTTCTAGTCCCCACTCTCACCCGGGGCCCCCAGTGTGGGTTTCCTCCATCTGGGCCCCTGGTTCTCTATCTTCATCCACTGTTGGTTTTTTTTTTTTTTTTTTTTTTTTGGTACAAGGATTGAACCCACAGTCTTTTAACCACTGAGCCCCATCCCCAGCGCTATTTTGTATTTTATTTAGAGAGACAGGGTCTCACTGAGTTGCTTAGCACCTTGCTTTTGCTGAGGCTGGCTTTGAACTTGCAATCCTCCTGCCTCAGCCTCCCAACTGCTGGGATTACAGGCCAGCCCAGCGCCATCATGCCGGACTTCCATCTAGTCTTGCTCAGTGTCTCCYAGTACTTCCCTCTGGGCCCCCATGTCTGCCATCATGTCCCTCCACTTGCCCTGAGATGGTCTTCCTCAGCAATCATTCATAGTTGATTTTAGGACAGCCCTTCCCTGCAATGCTCAAAGATGCTGGTGGGCTCCCCTTGGTCATCTCCAGTCACCCTTTCCCCAGGGCTTTTCTAGGCTTAACAGCAGCACAAAATAGTGCTTCAGGGTCCCCGCCCCCGTGGCCCAGCCTCCCATCTCCTCTTGTTGTTACTAGATGTGAGACATGGATGTAAGTTCCTTCATTCTCTCTGATTCAGTTTCATAACTACCTGTCTCAGCGGTTGTTTGAAGGATTAAATGAGTTACTATATACCAAGGATTTAGCACATAACACATTAAGTTGTTGTTGCTGCTATTATTGTTATTACTGCCTTTGATCCGACAGTTAATCGAGTGTTTCCATTCCTGGCAGAAAACAATGGGCTGCTATTCCTGGAGACCTCAGCCCTGGACTCCACCAATGTCGAACTGGCCTTTGAGACTGTCCTCAAAGGTTAGAGCCTGCCTCCGTTTGGCACCCTCCTTCCATCCCTGGGGCTTCAAAGGGCAGTGGTAGAAACGCAGACACTCCGTTGAGCCCACTGTGGGCTCCCCCTCCAGAGCTGTAGCACCACTGCACAGGCCCCTGGGCCCCTGCCACCCCCCACCCCGGGGCCTCTCACTCAGCCTGCAGCTGAGGGAAGGAATCATAAAGCCACACTTCCCAGGGGAAAGTGAGCGGTTCCTTTTCCACTCAGGTAAGTAGAAGGGACCCGTGTACCCCAACTCCATGTCCTTCTGGCAGAACTGCATGTGTGGCCAGCCCCTGGTTCTCAGAATGGACACGCAGAGTGTGTGCGTGCAGGTGGGTGTGTGCGTGTGCACCTCCAAACTTTCGGGCCTGATCATTGCCCTCCATCCTCTCAGAGATCTTTGCCAAGGTGTCCAAGCAGAGGCAGAATAGCACCCGGACCAATGCCATCACCCTGGGCAGTGCCCAGGCTGGGCAGGAGCCTGGCCCTGGGCAGAAGAGGGCCTGTTGCATCAGCCTCTGACCTTGGCCATGACCAACCCTCCGCCACCCCCATGCTTCCTGAAGCTCCCCACCCCACCCCCATTGCAGGACTTTCTCTGCCCTTTGGTTCCCTGTTCACAGCCCCCCAGAGCCCTGGGGTCCTCATGCCCCTCCATGCGTATCTTTATGAACTATCTACCCCCACATAGGCTAGGACCCTCAAATAAAGCTGTTTTGTATCAATGCCTGGCCATCTTGCTGCTTCCTATGGTTCCTCCTCTTGCACTTGTCTGGGCCTCCTACCCAACTTTGGCCCCTCCTCTGAATCCCAGATCCCCTCTCCTCCTTCTCCTTCTCCAGTCTTCCCCACCATCCTGACTGTCCCCCAGGGCCAGCTGCCTCTGGAGTTCTGTGGTCTGGGGACAGTGCCAAGGGAGAGGGAGGTGCCGCCCTTCCCTCTGCCAACCTCCAGGGCAGGTGGGGAGGGAGGACAGCCTGGAGGGGAGGGGTATCTGGAAGGCGAGACAAAGGAAACCATCGGCGGGCACCATCTGGTGCCCAGGGTCCTGGTGCCAAGAACTGAGGTCACGCCAATGCCAGGGGCAAGAGGAGGAGGCTGAGGGAGATACAGGAGAGAAGGGGAGGCAGGGCTGGCCCTGGATGTGTGCTGGAAAGGGGCTTTTAAGGCTGGGAGGTTGAAGGCTGGAGTCCTCCATCCAGTCTCCTGCCTCTCCCCAGAGGGATGGATTGAATCTAGCAGGGTAAGTAGGGGAGGCTCTGGGTCGCTCAGCCCTCTGCATCTTCTTCATGGAGCCTGGGAGAGGAGTCCAGGCAAGGGCTCTTCCCCTTGCTTCAACTTCTCCAGTTCTGCAGGGCAGGGTAGGAGGTGCGGACACATCTCCAAGGAAAAGAAGGGAATAAACGTGGAAGGAAGAGACAGGGATTGAGAGCTTTGGAGAACGGAGAGGGCAGCCAATGGCAGGGAACCCCGGAGGCACCACTTCCCACAAGGGGCGTTAGGGGCACCCAGAGCTAAAGCAGAGAGAACCCCCCAGGATGGACATCCCCACCACAGTCCCTGGCTCTCACCCCAGGTCGATGCAGAGTGAAATGCAGAGGAAGACAAAGCCTTAAGTAATAATACTTTTAATAAAATTAAGTTCTTAATAGCACATTTAATACATTAACCCTCCCCCTTCTTGGTTTCTCTGCATTTTGTGCAACATCACTTTGACTTGATTATTCATGGGTCCGTTTTATTTCCCGCTTTTATTTTGCTTTTGAAATTGTTTTTCCTTGGTGGATGTGTCTTCACTAGATGCCTCAAATTAAGTCTGACCACAATCCTACTCTACTTTCTACAGTGGAGAGACCATCCTCTCTGCCCCAGGGCGGTCTCCACCCACCCACCCTACCCCACCCGCACCCTCGAGCGGGGAAGGGGAAGCAGGCCCTCCCCATCCCAGACACTACCATCCCAGACTAGCGAGGGTTCGAGGACAAAAAGAGCAGGGGGGAAATCTGTCCCTAGGTGGGGCAAGAAGAGTAAATTGGGGAGAGGGAGATGTTGGGGGCTGGGGTCAGGGAGCGGCATGGCAGAGTCACTGGTGTAAAGGAACAGGCACCTCATGCCAAAGGGAGAGCCAAGGGCTTCTCCACCCTCTGGGATGGGAGGAAAGGGCCTGGTCGGGTCGACTGCTGGGTTTGGTAGGAGGCAAGTGCTTAAATGTTGATTCCTCACATGCAAAGCTAGCCTCCCGGTTTTCTGTGGGGAAGGCCACGTGCCCCTATGCCAGGGCACAGTGGATGACCCCTATGGATAGAGGAGGGCTGGAGTAGAAGGAGTTAAGAGCTGGGGTCACCCAAAGCCCCTGTGCCCCTACCTGTCTCTGTATTGTTGGGGGGACTATTCTCCCAGGCCTTGGAGGATAGTCGTCTCCATTCCACCTCACTGGGTAGAAAGTCCTTCTTGAAATCTAGCTTTTATGAGATAACTTGCAAACCTATAAAGCACCATACAGACTTAAAGGAGAATAATTATTGAGATCACGACTTTCAGAGGTCAAAAGCAACATTAAATGCTGAAAGGGAACGGGGATGGGGGACTGGTCCCCTCAGGGCTCTTGAAGCCCTGGGATGGTGGAAAGTGTGTTCGACTGACTTGTCTGTGGGATGGTTTACCTGGCTCTTATCTGTAGTAAAGTGAATTGAGGTTATACTTTAGTAAGGACTTCCTCAGGCCTGGGAGAAGCTGACTTGGGAGAGTTGAAGCAAGCAGTCTCCATCCTCCCTGAGAGTCCCCAGAGAGGATGGACCACTTTGCCGCAAGGGCTGCCCAATAGAGATGGCCAGGCCCCCAGGTACAGGGTGTGTAGGTCAACGTGCTCAGCCTCCTCTGCTGCCCCCAGCCCAGCCCCCCACCTGGCTGAGGTGGTCAGTGAGCACCCTTTCAAAGACCCTGGGAAGGAGCCCCTCATCTATCTGTCCTACAATTAAAAAAATCCACGGATTCTCAGAATCAACCCCAGCAGACTGGAAGCTCCCAATCTTAACTAGCAACCTGCTCCAACCCTGATTCCTGAAGATGGGGCGACCAGGGTGGACTCAGCCATTTCCCTCCTCTATTCTTTTTGATACGACTTTTATACATTCTACTGGACCCAGGGGTCCACGATGCTACTAAACTTTAAACTATCTGAATATCGTCTACTAAGTAACTAGTAATTCTTTCTTTCTTTCTCTAGGATTATATGAAATAAATTTGAATTATTATTATTATTTTGTAGTATTCTTTTAAACCCCTCGGTTTCTTTCTTTTTTCTTCTCTCTCTCTTTTTGGTTAAAAAAAAAAATCTATTTCTATTAAATCTCACACCTCTCTGAGGGTTCCCGTAGGCCTACTAGGCCTCAGTTCTGGATCTCCCCTTCGCAGTAGCCCCTGGGACAGGGCAGGGGAAGGGGGGGACACCCCAGGATCCTCAGTCCTTAGTCCCACAGCTTCTTCCTTTCTAGTTAATCCCTTTCTTTGTTTGGCTCTGCCGGCTCCCCTGGGGGGGAAGGGGGAGAGGGGAGGGGGAGCCCACCGAGTGAAATCCAATCTACTTGCAGGGCCCCAGAGGGGACCAGGTTCCCCCAGTCCTTCTCTCCACCCTCCATCCCAGGATGCTCCCCCAAGAAAAGCAAATGACATTCCTCCCCAAAAAAAAGTGGGGGAAAAAAGGAACGTAAACCCGAACATATATTAAAAACACTTTTTTTTTTTAAGATTTAACTCTGAATACAAATGTATTTTTTTCTTCTTCTCTCCCTACATATATTCTAAACCTTCTAAAGTTTTTTTATTTTTTTAAGGATCACTTTATCATAAAATAAAATATCCTTTTCATATAATAAATTACCTAATAAAAAGTCTTTTTTTTTCATATTAGCCCAGGTTCTTTGCTACATTTATACGGTAATAAACGCCTTTATTAAAATAGAATATTAAATTATAAAGAACTGCTTTTTTTTTTTTTTTTTTTTGCTATTTTTGTTTCCTCTCCTGTGTTGTCGCCCATCTCGCTCCCTCTCCTACTCTCTCTTTCTCTCCTGTTTGTTGCTGTGTGTTTTGTTCCTAGGTCTGGCTCACTCAGTAAGGGTGGATTGGATTGCTGAGCCCCTAGTGTAACAGTCTTTTGCCTTTGTGGGTAAGGAGTGGAGAGGGGGAGGGGGATCCACAGACAGACATCCCTTCTTCCCACCCCCCTCCCGCCCGCCCCTCGGTGACCGAGGGTGCCCATTTGGTTTGGTTTCTATTGTACAGACATCTCAGGATGGCTCACATTGGCGGGAAGGAGGGAAGTTGCCACAGGCCAGTTTTCTGGGCTGTGACCTCCTTCCTCTCCCCTCCCAGGCTGGTGGTTTGGAGGGGAAGGCTGAGGAGAGGTGAATTGATTCACAACAGGAGAAAGGAGAGGAGGGGACTCCCTCTGTGCCTCCGTCCCTGCACCCCTTCTCCATTCTGAAAGAATGGGACTCCTGAGCTTTAAGTGCTCAGAGATCACGCACAACAGTCCCACCCCATTATATACAAGATCTCCTGGGCCCTCTGGGGCTCCCATCCCCATCCTCTCCTGGCCCGGCCAGCGGAACCAGGAGGGTGGGAGGCTGGTGGCAGCCCCAAGTGAGCAGTAGGGAGGCAGCAAAGGGGGTGCCAGGACTGTCACAATACATGATTCTCGGAACAGGCCCTGAAGCACCTCCATCCTGCTTTGCCCAGGCCTGACCCCCTCTCCTAAGACCTGGCCTCTCTCCTCAACCACAGTGRGTAGGACAGACATTTCATGATTTGCACACTAATAAGGATTCACTAAAGGTTCAGTCAGGTCCAGAGAGGAACCAGGGAAGGGAGCACTGCAGGAGAGGGGGTCACCCCACCACATCTCTCCTACCCGGGCCCTTTCCTGCTTCTGCTCCCCTTTCCCACAGCCAGAAAACCCAGCGTGGGAACTGCTCCCTAAATATAATGCCCATAGGTGAAGAAGGTGGGTGTTTGACCCTTTATGTACCCCGGTATTAGTCCCCCTCTCAAAGTGTCACTGAGAACGGGGGATACATTCCATCAAGGGTTGGAGATGTTTCTTTGGAGGAGTGGGGAGAGGGCCTCCCAATGCCTGGAGAGGAACTGAGGGTTCATCAAAAGGTTCTTCCCCCACTTTTCCCCAGACAGATGGTGTCCCCAAAGCTGGGCTGGAAGGAACAGGAGCRAAAGGGGAGAAGGGAGAAGAGAAAGAGAAGGAGCCAGTCAGGGCTGGGAGTGACAGCCGCCCAGGGGAAGGAAAAAGAGCTAGAAAAAAGGAAAAAGCAAAGAAGAACCAAAGGAAGGAAGACAGGGAAGAACTGGAGGGGCGGAGAGGGGCACCGCTCTCCAGACTCCTCTAGCCCAGCCTTGCGAGGACGATGAATTCTGAGCCCTTTATTGATTGACAGGCTGCTCCCCATCCCACCCGCCCCACAGAAGATCTCTGCAGACTTCTGCCGGGCGGCAGTTCCCCTATACTA